CCCATCATGACCTCCATCATATTGACTTCGACAACTTTGTAGTGGATATAAGAAACAATATTGGAGTTAATTTGGGGAAGCCTTTACTCCTAAGTGCTAAGCACATCATTTTTAATCATTTGTTTTTCAATTTTGCTATTCAGAGCTACCTATGTAGCTCAACCATGAAAACCTCCCCCCCCCTCTTCCTCACACCAAAACATAACNATTGGAGTTAATTTGGGGAAGCCTTTACTCCTAAGTGCTAAGCACATCATTTTTAATCATTTGTTTTTCAATTTTGCTATTCAGAGCTACCTATGTAGCTCAACCATGAAAACCTCCCCCCCTCTTCCTCACACCAAAACATAATGCACTGGCAAAACAAAACTACATTTCAATAGTAGCTCAATCCATCCTATTGTTATTACCATTCTGCATGTGTCCAGCATGTAGCTAGTGCTCCTTCTGTGCAAAGAGCAAACTCTTATTTTGAGTATGATTGGGCCTTGAGGGTGCCCCCCCCAACACCNAATAGTAGCTCAATCCATCCTATTGTTATTACCATTCTGCATGTGTCCAGCATGTAGTTAGTGCTCCTTCTGTGCAAAGAGCAAACTCTTATTTTGAGTATGATTGGGCCTTGAGGGTGCCCCCCCAACACATCCTATAGCGATGCACCGTAGGGTTTTGAATTTGCGATAAACCATGACCCTAGACGAGACTTGCAAAAATTTTCCCATGCTTCCCCCCCCTCTTTTTCTTAATTATGGCGAAGGGCCAGACATTGTTGGGTATGAGCATCCAATCGACGATCTTTTTGGCTTGATGTGTACTGCCCTTACCGGGAATAAGGATTAAGATGTTCCACCCAATGATGTTTCGAATAGCACTTCCNCATTGTTGGGTATGAGCATCCAATCGACGATCTTTTTGGCTTGATGTGTACTGCCCTTACTGGGGAATAAGGATTAAGATGTTCCACCCAATGATGTTTCGAATAGCACTTCGCATTCTTTTTCATATAGTAATGCTTTATGTGAAGAGAGCAATCGATGGGAATCGCATAGGAACTAGATAAGCTTGAGTTCTAGAATTAAATTAATTAGGATTTAATTTTTTAATTTATTTATTAGATTATTTAATTATGGAATATTTGTCAGACTAGGAGTATTAATGAGAGTTAGAATTTGATTAGGAAACTATTTTAGAATTTTAGTAGGACAATATATTTTTTTTTTGTTGATAGACTTGGCCTATAAATATTGATGTTATCCCTATTATTTTCATTAGAGAGAGTAATATTAACAAAATTATTTTTCTGTGGAGAATTTGTGTGTTTCTTAGCATAAGTTTTGTGAGAGCTTGGTATTTCTTATTCGTACTGTCACAGTCTTGCATTAGTTATCATCAGAGCCAAACTTTGATCAATCAGTCTTCCTTTCATGCTTCTCGTTCTCAATCATCAAAAGAAGCACTTCTTGTTGAAGATTTTTGGTTGCTCAGTCCAGATTATTTGCGACAACCTTCTGCTTCTTGTCCCGTAGCTTCATGACTCCTTGTTCAAGGGACACTATTTGTTCTTTGTTTTGTCCAACTTCAAACCTCTTGCAATGAAGAAGAAGACATCTGGTTGCTAGGTTTAAAACATTAACCCAAACCGNACCTTCTGCTTCTTGTCCCGTAGCTTCATGACTCCTTGTTCAAGGGACACTATTTGTGCTTTGTTTTGTCCAACTTCAAACCTCTTGCAATGAAGAAGAAGACATCTGGTTGCTAGGTTTAAAACATTAACCCAAACCCAATCCAACCAAAAATCCCATCCAAAATAATAAACATTCCCATTTTAACCAGAAAGATTTTTGAAATTATACTTTTGCCCTAGATTTTCAGGAAATTTTCAGATCGTTGCTTCCATCAAGATGGTCACCATTACTAGAATGTGTTAATGCACAAAGGCCCTGAATGATAGACTAGATTTAATCCAACNACATTCCCATTTTAACCAGAAAGATTTTTGAAATTATACTTTTGCCCTAGATTTTCAAGAAATTTTCAGATCGTTGCTTCCATCAAGATGGTCACCATTACCAGAATGTGTTAATGCACAAAGGCCCTGAATGATAGACTAGATTTAATCCAACCATTCATAGATTCGTTAAAAGAAATTGTGTTGGTTTTAGTTCATGAAACTAAGGTGAGGGAATATTTCAATATTCGTCTGCAACCTCAATCAACAAGTGGTTGAACATGTCCCTCCTCCACAATCTCCAGTCCAATTACCGTACAAACCAAAATTTTTTGATGCTAATGTGCTTAAAAATTCTTCACCTCATCCTACATCAATACTTTTTGATAAGTCGATTTCAAAAGATCTTCCTACAGATAAAGTTAAACAAGTTTTCAAAGTGGATTCTTGAGATTGAATTTTTACTTTTTTTGCAACCAATTATTATGCTTTCTTCATCACCCATTGTTTCGTGTGAAACAAAGTGTGAAAGTTATGGACATTCATCATATAGATTCCTACCATTGTGTTACTCGTTTTATCTCACCTATCAAAATAGAGGATGCACTTCACCAACCGATGTTGATTCTCTTAGAGTACTATTGCTATTACAATGGGGATCGAATAGGAATTGGATAAGCTGAAATTCAAGATTTACATTAGTTAGAATTAATTTTGTTATTTATTTATTAGATTATTTAATTAAAGAATATTTGTTTGACTAAGGGGGTTAGTGAATGTTAGAGTTTGATCAAGAAACTATTTTAGAATTTCAGTTGGAGAATAATGTTCGTTTTGGTAGGAGACTTGGGCTATAAATATTGATGTAACCCGTATTATTTTTATTAGAAAGAGTGATATTAATAAATTGCAAGGATTGGTATCTCTTATCCTTTCTGCACATCCCCTCCCCGTCTTGCATGAGCTATCCCACATCTAAAAACACATACATTGGAGCTAAACTAAAGTAGATAGATAAGCAGGCCATAGATTTCAACTAAATGAGAGAATTGACCCACTAACTAACCAAGGTTCACTCTGATACCATGTTAGAGTATCCAAAATCAATTGGCAATAGGTAGAGTGGCCTTTCAAGTATATGCAATAACCTTGGTTCTACTTAATTTTCAATATGAGATAGCTCTCTTAACACCTCCTTTCAAAGAGTGACTTGGACTCACACTTGTACAAATAAACCAAATTGAAACAGGTAAACAAATAGACTCGAGTTGAAGCGAAACAGACTGGGAAATTCATTTGAGTGAGAGAGTTAGTTCGCCAACCATCCAAGACTGATACCAATTTGTTTGGTGATGGATGCTCTAACATGGTCAGGTCTGGTTGTTGGGTGGTTAGTGGACCAAGTCTCTTATCCATTTGAATTTTTTGGTATGCGTATTTGTTTGATAGCCCCACGTGCAAACTTGATTCCCACATGAGGGTGGGTGTAAGGAGAGTTTGTATCCCACATTGAATGTTTAGGGCCACTCAAGATGGATGCTCTAACCCTTTATTAATTAGTAAGGGAGCTCGTTCGATCATAACTAGGCCTAGAATGTTGAAATTGCCAAGGAGATGGCATAGATCTTTGCACTTCTTTTAGGCTTTTCTTCTTTATGAGAAAGTAAGGGATGGTACAGAATATTGGTCTGCTCCACAAAGCTGAGATTTCTGGCTTGCTCCCTCTATGTGGTCAACCTTCTTACCAATATGCATATTTTCTCTTGATGGAATATAACAATGCCCGACCCCTTCGCTTTCTTTCTTCACCGGCAGTCGCCGGATGTATCACTCATCCTGCTTTACAGGTAAGGAGCAGGATGCATCACTTATTCTGCTCATAAGTTAAGGAGTCTTCTGTGGGTTATAATCTTGATGAGAATGAGTCATAGATGTTCACAATGTAATTTTGTGGAAGCAAAAAGAATTATGTTTGATAATGGTACTGTCTTTGTTCTAAAATTTCATTTGCTTCGGCATGTAGTGATGCAATCACTTCTTTTGTAGGCTGGATACTACTGCTCAGTTTGTGAATGTGTAGTCAAAGATTCGGCAAATTATTTGGACCATATTAATGGAAAGAAGCGTACGTATTGGTGCATATACAAAAATGTTTTATTTGTTTTAAATAGTATTTAATTGTTTTTCGACTTGGCTTATTGTTTTCATAATTTGTTTCTCAGATCAAAGAGCTCTGGGTATGTCTATGCGGGTGGAACGGGCATCTCTTGAGCAGGTGTTGTACAGGGATTTTCTTTATAGAATTCTGAAATTTTGGAAAAATTAGAAAATAAAAAGAACCTGTTACTTTCGGACAAATCAGTTGTTTTACTTGAGCAAAAACTGCATGTCACAAATTTCATAGAAACCCCAAATCTGAAAAACGAGAGAATAACAAGAAGTCTCATTTGGAAAACTTCACCCAAACCGAAAAAAGGAAAGACAAAAACAGTCTCTCCTACAAATCNTTACTTGAGCAAAAACTGCATGTCACAAATTTCATAGAAACCCCAAATCTGAAAAACAAGAGAATAACAAGAAGTCTCATTTGGAAAACTTCACCCAAACCGAAAAAAGGAAAGACAAAAACAGTCTCTCCTACAAATACCCATGAATATCCTGTTCCATGTCAATCACTGAAATTTGCCTGTCAATGATTTCTGATTATTTCTCTGCTTATCGTCCTGTATAGTAGTCCTTGGAAAATATATCAAAATAACATCGACACAATGCATCCTAACTTGTGCTGTCCTTTGGGAAGGGAATGCTCAGTCAGGAACAAACAGCTATTGGCCCTTGCTTTGTTATTTGGAATTTAGTTAGAGGTAATAATTATATATTACTGCAACATCATTTGGAAATACAAATTTAATGGAACGACTGTAACCCAGTGTGGAGTCTATTTTGCTTGAGAAATTGGATTTGAGATTGGGTATGGGGTTCGTTTGGTGCGGTGAGAAGTTAGTTGGNGGGAATGCTCAGTCAGGAACAAACAGCTATTGGCCCTTGCTTTGTTATTTGGAATTTCGTTAGAGGTAATAATTATATATTACTGCAACATCATTTGGAAATACAAATTTAATGGAATGACTGTAACCCAGCGTGGAGTCTATTTTGCTTGAGAAATTGGATTTGAGATTGGGTATGGGGTTCGTTTGATGCGGTGAGAAGTTAGTTGTAGACATTCAGTGCTCAATATACACTGTTCCTAACTTGAAGTTCATCATCCTGAGTATCTATAGAAAATTAAATCATATAATTGGGGAAAAAAGGTTTCGGTAAAGTGTATATTGATAACTAGTTTGCCTGAAACAGTTTCTTTTCATGACACAGGTCCAGGAACGATTTGAAGTTCTAAAGAAGCGGAAAGATACTGGAGGCTTTACTGAGCAAGGTACAACTTGTAAAGAAGAGGCTAATTAGTATTTCAGATTGGTGGTATTCAAGGCAAAGTTTTGTTGAGGTTTTATTAATCTTCCTAAAATAAGAATTGTTGCTCAGCTGTCAGCCATGATGCAGCATACTCATGTTTCTTTGCTCAAATCTCGTTCAGTCAGAATCACCTCTTTTCATTACATCTCATCTGTTATTATGGCAAGGAAATTAGAAGGGAAAATGAATGGAAAATTGATATCGATGCTCTTTTTTGTCTATTTTCATTTTTAGATTTTGACGAGCGGATCTTAAGGCAGCAGCAAGAAGAGGAAGAAAGGAAGCGCCAACGGCGAGAAAGAAAGAAAGAGAAGGTTAGTGCCCGTGAGGGCTTCTTGTTTTATTTGCAGGCCGTACAGATACGCTCATCTTCTCCATACGGAAGGAGAAAGAAGTTAGATGGAATGCATGTACTACTACTTCTACCTCGTTGTGACCACAGCCAAAGAATATAAACTAAATATAGGGTTCTTTTATTCCCTGTTACTCTGTTAGTCATATTGGTAGTACTTTCTTCAAAGAACTCTATTTCAAATCAGTTGATTGGTGATTTGTTTTGCTGGTCAGAAAGAGAAGGCAGCAGAGGAGGAAATCGAGGTAGACCCTGATGTTGCAGCTATGATGGGATTTGGGGGTTTTGGGTCATCCAAAAAGTGATCATACTTGACTATCCCTTCCAAATTGAGAAGAGCTTGATTTGCACACGAATCTGGAAGAGGTCTTTCTTCCTTATAACTATTTATTTGACTCTGGAAGTGGAAAGTGTCAGAAGCAGCTTAGTCTACTCTCATGGTTCTGTCATTAAAGGCAACACTCTCCTAAATGTTACNCAGCTTAGTCTACTCTCATGGTTCTGTCATTAAAGGCAACACTCTCCTAAATGTTACAAGCGGAAACATGTGCATGGCCTTTCTTATAAATTTTACTGCAATATTTGACTACATGAAGCAGGCTATCTTTTATTGGCATCCATTGTTGTGGGTAAAATTATGTTATCGAAGAGTCCTTTTTTTTATNGCAGGCTATCTTTTATTGGCATCCATTGTTGTGGGTAAAATTATGTTATCGAAGAGTCCTTTTTTTTATTTTTTTTTTCAAGTATTGGGTCATAAGTTACTTTATTTGAGGTTAAAATTCACTCTGGTGAGCATACGATAAAATGGGGTAATTTGAGATGGATCTTACCATTTTGAATAGAGCCCAAGTTTTCTCTCTTTTGAAGTAGTTACTTGTTTTCATTGAATTGTAACTTGACCTTGAGTTGTAATTAATATTAATTCAGTTGTGAATTTCTGTAAGATATTGTAACTTCCTTGGGTTTTTTGGTACATGTCTGGAAGCCCATTACAAAAGCTGGTGACTTATTTTGCTCGGATTCTTGAAAACTAATTAAATAAAAGGGCAATTGTGTGTTTTAGTTTCAAGCACCTGATCAAAAAAAGAAGTTTCAAACACCTCATGCGTGATTGTAAGATGGTGTACCACTACAAGAAAAAAGAGTTTTTGCTTCGGCAAAAAAAGGTGTTTTTGTTTTGGCACAAGGGGTGTAATAAAAAAGTTTCGATGCAAAAAGTTAATTTTAGTATATTGTTGAAACAAAAACGTGTTAATTTCATCCAAAAGTTGATGCAAAGTCNCTTTGTTTTGTCCAACTTCAAACCTCTTGCAATGAAGAAGAAGACATCTGGTTGCTAGGTTTAAAACATTAACCCAAACCCAATCCAACCAAAAATCCCATCCAAAATAATAAACATTCCCATTTTAACCAGAAAGATTTTTGAAATTATACTTTTGCCCTAGATTTTCAGGAAATTTTCAGATCGTTGCTTCCATCAAGATGGTCACCATTACTAGAATGTGTTAATGCACAAAGGCCCTGAATGATAGACTAGATTTAATCCAAGCATTCATAGATTCGTTAAAAGAAATTGTGTTGGTTTTAGTTCATGAAACTAAGGTGAGGGAATATTTCAATATTCGTCTGCAACCTCAATCAACAAGTGGTTGAACATGTCCCTCCTCCACAATCTCCAGTCCAATTACCGTACAAACCAAAATTTTTTGATGCTAATGTGCTTAAAAATTCTTCACCTCATCCTACATCAATACTTTTTGATAAGTCGATTTCAAAAGATCTTCCTACAGATAAAGTCAAACAAGTTTTCAAAGTGGATTCTTGAGATTGAATTTTTACTTTTTTTGCAACCAATTATTATGCTTTCTTCATCACCCATTGTTTCGTGTGAAACAAAGTGTGAAAGTTATGGACATTCATCATATAGATTCCTACCATTGTGTTACTCGTTTTATCTCACCTATCAAAATAGAGGATGCACTTCACCAACCGATGTTGATTCTCTTAGAGTACTATTGCTATTACAATGGGGATCGAATAGGAATTGGATAAGCTGAAATTCAAGATTTACATTAGTTAGAATTAATTTTGTTATTTATTTATTAGATTATTTAATTAAAGAATATTTGTTTGACTAAGGGGGTTAGTGAATGTTAGAGTTTGATCAAGAAACTATTTTAGAATTTCAGTTGGAGAATAATGTTCGTTTTGGTAGGAGACTTAGGCTATAAATATTGATGTAACCCGTATTATTTTTATTAGAAAGAGTGATATTAATAAATTGCAAGGATTGGTATCTCTTATCCTTTCTGCACATCCCCTCCCCGTCTTGCATGAGCTATCCCACATCTAAAAACACATACATTGGAGCTAAACTAAAGTAGATAGATAAGCAGGCCATAGATTTCAACTAAATGAGAGAATTGACCCACTAACTAACCAAGGTTCACTCTGATACCATGTTAGAGTATCCAAAATCAATTGGCAATAGGTAGAGTGGCCTTTCAAGTATATGCAATAACCTTGGTTCTACTTAATTTTCAATATGAGATAGCTCTCTTAACACCTCCTTTCAAAGAGTGACTTGGACTCACACTTGTACAAATAAACCAAATTGAAACAGGTAAACAAATAGACTCGAGTTGAAGCGAAACAGACTGGGAAATTCATTTGAGTGAGAGAGTTAGTTCGCCAACCATCCAAGACTGATACCAATTTGTTTGGTGATGGATGCTCTAACATGGTCAGGTCTGGTTGTTGGGTGGTTAGTGGACCAAGTCTCTTATCCATTTGAATTTTTTGGTATGCGTATTTGTTTGATAGCCCCACGTGCAAACTTGATTCCCACATGAGGGTGGGTGTAAGGAGAGTTTGTATCCCACATTGAATGTTTAGGGCCACTCAAGATGGATGCTCTAACCCTTTATTAATTAGTAAGGGAGCTCGTTCGATCATAACTAGGCCTAGAATGTTGAAATTGCCAAGGAGATGGCATAGATCTTTGCACTTCTTTTAGGCTTTTCTTCTTTATGAGAAAGTAAGGGATGGTACAGAATATTGGTCTGCTCCACAAAGCTGAGATTTCTGGCTTGCTCCCTCTATGTGGTCAACCTTCTTACCAATATGCATATTTTCTCTTGATGGAATATAACAATGCCCGACCCCTTCGCTTTCTTTCTTCACCGGCAGTCGCCGGATGTATCACTCATCCTGCTTTACAGGTAAGGAGCAGGATGCATCACTTATTCTGCTCATAAGTTAAGGAGTCTTCTGTGGGTTATAATCTTGATGAGAATGAGTCATAGATGTTCACAATGTAATTTTGTGGAAGCAAAAAGAATTATGTTTGATAATGGTACTGTCTTTGTTCTAAAATTTCATTTGCTTCGGCATGTAGTGATGCAATCACTTCTTTTGTAGGCTGGATACTACTGCTCAGTTTGTGAATGTGTAGTCAAAGATTCGGCAAATTATTTGGACCATATTAATGGAAAGAAGCGTACGTATTGGTGCATATACAAAAATGTTTTATTTGTTTTAAATAGTATTTAATTGTTTTTCGACTTGGCTTATTGTTTTCATAATTTGTTTCTCAGATCAAAGAGCTCTGGGTATGTCTATGCGGGTGGAACGGGCATCTCTTGAGCAGGTGTTGTACAGGGATTTTCTTTATAGAATTCTGAAATTTTGGAAAAATTAGAAAATAAAAAGAACCTGTTACTTTCGGACAAATCAGTTGTTTTACTTGAGCAAAAACTGCATGTCACAAATTTCATAGAAACCCCAAATCTGAAAAACGAGAGAATAACAAGAAGTCTCATTTGGAAAACTTCACCCAAACCGAAAAAAGGAAAGACAAAAACAGTCTCTCCTACAAATCCCCATGAATATCCTGTTCCATGTCAATCACTGAAATTTGCCTGTCAATGATTTCTGATTATTTCTCTGCTTATCGTCCTGTATAGTAGTCCTTGGAAAATATATCAAAATAACATCGACACAATGCATCCTAACTTGTGCTGTCCTTTGGGAAGGGAATGCTCAGTCAGGAACAAACAGCTATTGGCCCTTGCTTTGTTATTTGGAATTTCGTTAGAGGTAATAATTATATATTACTGCAACATCATTTGGAAATACAAATTTAATGGAATGACTGTAACCCAGCGTGGAGTCTATTTTGCTTGAGAAATTGGATTTGAGATTGGGTATGGGGTTCGTTTGATGCGGTGAGAAGTTAGTTGTAGACATTCAGTGCTCAATATACACTGTTCCTAACTTGAAGTTCATCATCCTGAGTATCTATAGAAAATTAAATCATATAATTGGGGAAAAAAGGTTTCGGTAAAGTGTATATTGATAACTAGTTTGCCTGAAACAGTTTCTTTTCATGACACAGGTCCAGGAACGATTTGAAGTTCTAAAGAAGCGGAAAGATACTGGAGGCTTTACTGAGCAAGGTACAACTTGTAAAGAAGAGGCTAATTAGTATTTCAGATTGGTGGTATTCAAGGCAAAGTTTTGTTGAGGTTTTATTAATCTTCCTAAAATAAGAATTGTTGCTCAGCTGTCAGCCATGATGCAGCATACTCATGTTTCTTTGCTCAAATCTCGTTCAGTCAGAATCACCTCTTTTCATTACATCTCATCTGTTATTATGGCAAGGAAATTAGAAGGGAAAATGAATGGAAAATTGATATCGATGCTCTTTTTTGTCTATTTTCATTTTTAGATTTTGACGAGCGGATCTTAAGGCAGCAGCAAGAAGAGGAAGAAAGGAAGCGCCAACGGCGAGAAAGAAAGAAAGAGAAGGTTAGTGCCCGTGAGGGCTTCTTGTTTTATTTGCAGGCCGTACAGATACGCTCATCTTCTCCATACGGAAGGAGAAAGAAGTTAGATGGAATGCATGTACTACTACTTCTACCTCGTTGGGACCACAGCCAAAGAATATAAACTGAATATAGGGTTCTTTTATTCCCTGTTACTCTGTTAGTCATATTGGTAGTACTTTCTTCAAAGAACTCTATTTCAAATCAGTTGATTGGTGATTTGTTTTGCTGGTCAGAAAGAGAAGGCAGCAGAGGAGGAAATCGAGGTAGACCCTGATGTTGCAGCTATGATGGGATTTGGGGGTTTTGGGTCATCCAAAAAGTGATCATACTTGACTATCCCTTCCAAATTGAGAAGAGCTTGATTTGCACACGAATCTGGAAGAGGTCTTTCTTCCTTATAACTATTTATTTGACTCTGGAAGTGGAAAGTGTCAGAAGCAGCTTAGTCTACTCTCATGGTTCTGTCATTAAAGGCAACACTCTCCTAAATGTTACCAGCGGAAACATGTGCATGGCCTTTCTTATAAATTTTACTGCAATATTTGACTACATGAAGCAGGCTATCTTTTATTGGCATCCATTGTTGTGGGTAAAATTATGTTATCGAAGAGTCCTTTTTTTTATTTTTTTTTTCAAGTATTGGGTCATAAGTTACTTTATTTGAGGTTAAAATTCACTCTGGTGAGCATACGATAAAATGGGGTAATTTGAGATGGATCTTACCATTTTGAATAGAGCCCAAGTTTTCTCTCTTTTGAAGTAGTTACTTGTTTTCATTGAATTGTAACTTGACCTTGAGTTGTAATTAATATTAATTCAGTTGTGAATTTCTGTAAGATATTGTAACTTCCTTGGGTTTTTTGGTACATGTCTGGAAGCCCATTACAAAAGCTGGTGACTTATTTTGCTCGGATTCTTGAAAACTAATTAAATAAAAGGGCAATTGTGTGTTTTAGTTTCAAGCACCTGATCAAAAAAAGAAGTTTCAAACACCTCATGCGTGATTGTAAGATGGTGTACCACTACAAGAAAAAAGAGTTTTTGCTTCGGCAAAAAAAGGTGTTTTTGTTTTGGCACAAGGGGTGTAATAAAAAAGTTTCGATGCAAAAAGTTAATTTTAGTATATTGTTGAAACAAAAACGTGTTAATTTCATCCAAAAGTTGATGCAAAGTCCTTGAAACAAAATATAAGTATTTGTTTTCATATGAGAGAGTTGAAGTAAAAAATGAGGTATTGCCGAAGCAAACAATCAATTTTTGCTTCAACAAAAGAGCCGAAGCAAATATCCATTTCTCTCAAAAACTTATTTCTTAAAATTAGTCACTTTCAAATTTATTTTTTAAACTTGGTCACTTTTCAGAAGGCGTCATTCCAAATGATGCTGTCAAAGACTTCATTCAATGTAGTGCATTAAAGACATCATTTCAAATGACATCTTCATTTATGAATGGGTCATTTGGAATTTTAATGTAGTGCCATTTCAAATAATCTTCATTCATGAAGTTGTTATTTGGAATGACGTCTTCGAAAAAATGACCCTTTAGGAAATAAGTTTGAAAGTGTTTGGTTTTTGGAAAATAAATCTCTGAGGAGAATGACTATGATAAAAAGCTTTTGAAGCAAATATTCACCTATTACTGTAAATATTATTTTTTACAAAAATAGGCACCTGATCCTGTACATTCGTAAATATAATTATGTATCATGTCCATTTAAACAAATCTCCGATAGACTCTAGCACAAATGATTTTAATTTAGAAAAAAGGCAATAAATGCAACAATATTATAATTACAACAAACATCCAAATTTAATTACATATCAATAGTTGAATATTTCTGAAATTATCAAAAGTACTTAAGTACACATACAGTTTTTTTTTTTTAGCTGGAAATGCACGTATATAGTTCAAAAATCTATACTACTAATAAAACTACCTTAACTTGAAAATTTTTTGATTCACTATTTTATCCTCATAAAAAATTATAAAACCTAATATGTCCTTTTGTATTTAAATATACAAATTACCATTATATCCCTTTGTATTTAAATAACAAACTAATCTCTAACATATCATATAAATCTCTCCATCTTTGCAAAACTTTTAAATAATCATGTTATGCTTAACATGATATATAAAAACAATATTATTCTTTTTTTTTTTTTCTAAATACTCAATATTAATATATATTGACGACTCCATTGATACAATTACAATATCATCTCCAATGCCAAAAAATGGATATATTTTTCTTATCATTTCATTTACAATCAAAAAAATTTGGTAAAAAATTATTGATGCACCAAATAAAAACAAGAAAGAAAAAAAGAAAAAAAAAGTTGACAAAAAAAAATCTACAAACCTTATTGCTTGGTAATTTGAATGAAAGAATTATAGAAAATGAGTTCATTGCATATTTATAGTTATGAAGAGAATACAATTTATCCTATGCTGGAGTATCACATATGTATTTTCTTTCGAACTCAACCATAGTGCATCTTGAATGTGTAATTTCGGCACTTTACTGATTGGATCCACATTTTAGAGTTTGACATACATATTGGAGATGAAGTAAGTACCCATGTGAGCTTTAGTACCAATTCTTGTTGCAGGGAACTTACATTTTCTCAAAAGAACAATTTTTTAAATTCAAAATTTGTTCAATAATCTTATTATGCTTGCTTTAGTTAGAGTGCATGTGGATAGTTGATTCACTTTGTCTTGAAATGCCAATTTGCCTCCCCATGCTTATCTAGAGAGGATCTTAGGCCATCTTTGAATTGCGTTGAGCCTAAGCCTTTTTCTTGTGAAAAATTTATCTCTAGTGTCGTGATTGAGCCTTAATTGAAAATTAGTTTCCATGCCACATGTTTTACTAAGCCAGTGCAAAATGATTACAATTACCATACATTGGTTGTTCTGAGATTGACCGTGATTAATCATGAATAAAGGGAAATGTGGTGAGCAAAACCAAAAAAGGGATGAATGACATTGAATGAAAAAGAAGAGAAGAATCCAAGAAAAAGGAGAAAAGGGGGTTTTAAGAAAAGAAAAAAAAAAGAGAAAAAAAGTTGGCGTGAAGGTGTAAATTTGAAAATTCCACAAAAAAGAGATTTTTGATAATAAAGGTCATGTCCTCGGAATAATCCTTTTTGTCTCTGTCTACCCTTCGTTTCACTTACCCTAAATATCACCCCAAGGCCAGATTACAACCCATGAAAAGCCCTAAATGATCTACAGAAAGCATGGCAAAAACACACTTTAAATGAAAAGAAAAGTTGATTTTGCTATCTATTGCCCTAACATTCGATACATGAGATTATGCCAAGGTCGTTTCAATTGTTATGCATGCACGTCATCTTTAGATTATGTGTGAGTATATTTCGATTTGTGCATAAGATTCTATCTCACTTATACACATGGAGAGCATGCCAGGATAATCATAGTTATTCATTTTTGAGAGAAACCCTTGGTGAGAATCGCATCAAAGCTGAATTTGGATAGCTAAATGAATATGGATTCCGTTGAGTAAATGTTTAAATTGCATGTTCATTTCACACACACGAGTTTTGAAAGGAAATGTGTAGGTGTATACTTTAGAATAGGATTTAAAGTTATGATGAAACTCATGTGTAATTGGTTCGGGTTCTTGAAAAGTTGTGTCAGGTGACCCAGAGCGAGTAGGATAAGAGAATATTGCTCAAATTTTAGATATGAGATAGAAATAAGAATACCCATTTTTATTGTATTTCGTGCTTTACATATTGGGTGTTCATTTTTTTGAAATCAAAATTCCATGTTATGAGTTTTGAAAGCATCAAAACTCAAATCGCATTGCAAATTCGTAAAATAATCTGGGCATAGTCATACAGTGTGGTTCACTAGCATGGATCATGTTTTTGGGTAGTTGAGTTAGGAAATAGATCATTAGAATGCTTTAGAGTTGAATAAACTTGGAGTGGGAGTGAGAATTAGAAAATAGAATTTTTTTCCAAAAAGATGAGACACCTACTAGTAGAATACTCATTACCTACCGGTAGCTCTCAGCAAAATCACTGAAACAGTAGAAGGGAGACCTATCGGTAGAATAGTGAAGAGCTACTGGTAGAAGTTTTCCAGAAGGGTTTTCTACCGGTAAAAGTTTTCCATAAGGGTTTTCTACAGGTAGAAGGCAGACGAGCTATCGATAGCTCTTGCCCAGAATTCCAAAAATGAAGGTTTTAAACCCTAATTTTCGGGTAAACCCTTCATCTCATTCATTAATATCTCTCTCATTAACACTCTCTCCTCTCCCAAAACCCTCCAAACATTCGAAGAAACCCTGGGTATCCCTAAAATCCATCAAATTTCTCCCTCAAGTTCTTGATTCCCCGTTTTCCTTCTTCACTTTCTTAACCTCTTTTCCCCCAAAAACCTTTTTTCCTCCATAAAGCATCATCAAATCCACTCAAGGCTTGGAATTTTGGAAACAATGGCTCGAATAGGTAGGACTCCACCTTCGTCTTTCGGGATTTTTGAGTTATTTTGGGGATGGTTGTTGCAGTTTGTCGCTCTAGGGGCATTTTTGATTGTGATGGCCCGCACTAAGCAAACGGTCCCTAGCTCACCACCTTCTGTGGGAACTGGGTCCCACAAGAGAGCTGAAGAGTCGAGCTCTAACTGTGGGGAGTAGAGAAAGAAGAAGAGGAATGACCCTCGCATGGAGAGCATTAAGGTTAAGAATGTGACGTGCGAGAGACAAGTGGATAGGCCCACCCTTGGGCCACACGATGGTGTGGTCCAGATGATTGAGGGGCATGACCTACATTTTTGGTTCCAGGTAGTGGAGGGATTTGTGCTTCCCATTTGTAAGAAATTTTATTAGAATTTATGGGTGGTGGATGTGGATTTGTTTTTATTGAAGACGAATGTGAGGGGAAGGTGATTGAGGACACCCCAGCAGTCATCGCTGAGGCGTTACAATATTAGAGACCTGTTGCAAACACCCTGGTTTATCCTTATAACACCCCAGGGAGAAAATCACTCCAAGAGTATGCTAGCCTAATGTATGTAGACTCTACGCAGTTCAATGGGAAGATTCAGGTTGGTGCACTCAAGCATTCATATGGGGTGATGAATAAAGTGCTGTATTACAACCTTTTGCCTCGGGGTGCGGAGAAGATACTTGGGGTAGGAGAAACTGGCCTTCCTTTATGCGTTCATGGCTAGCACCTAGATGGATATAGCCTTGGTGATCTAGGAGGTGATGAAGGACTATGACTAGGCTATGAAGCCGAGGGTGAACCTTCCTTATGCCCACATCGTCACCAAGATGTGCCGCCATGCCAAGGTTAAGGGTATCCTCACAGATGTGACACTTTCACCTGAGTTCGATCACATTGGTAGGCTGAGCAGCATGAAGAAGATGGCCATGACTAGAGGGTTCGCACAGAGAGAAGAGAGAGCTAGGCCATCTGGGGTCGAGCCACCTACAGCTGAACCATCCATAGCCAGGCCATCCATTGTTGCCCCACCTCGGATAGTCTCTCAATGCCTTGATGCTACTGAGGGGATGATGGATGACTTCGGGGGCACTATGCAGCTGTTGAAGCTGATGGTCACCATGATTTTTGAGAGGACCTTCCCAAAAGAGCCTCTCCCCGAGATTCCACCATCATCCACTGCATCAGAGTTCCCATCATCAGCTCTGGGGACTAGTGCTGACCTCCGGACGAGTGTCCCCATCGGTTCAACTGTTGTAGAGGGGGGTGAGACTGAGGATGATGACGAGGATGAGGATTAGAGAGAGAGTTTGATCTTATTTT